CAATCGATAAAGAAGATTTCTTCTGCCAGTAGTGGAAATTAGAGTTTAGTTTTGATTGCAGCCGCTGAGATAAGCGACAAATAGCATTCTGCAGAGGTATACGGCAGTTTCCAATCTATAACCTCTCTGATCTGTGGGAGCTACTAAGAGAGTTTCTCACAAGGAAAGCGGCATGCCCCGGGCAATCTCACTTAAAAACCTAACTGAGGACGACTGATTTCATAGTCGCCAGAGGCGCTACAGACAATGAAGAACTACAGATTAAATCTTGAAATAACCCACTGTAAGAAAATATTTTGTGGATGAATGCGATAACGCAAGTCAATAAAAGTCAACTAAATCTTCCCCATTGTTGTTTATAGGTTTGTCATGGGCAAGATGTCGGTCGATGTTGATTATTTGCTATCATCCAAAGAAAAAGCCTATGCCGATTTTATTCATTTCTGACGATATAATCTGTGATAAGTTGTATGATTTCGTGCCTCATGCTTCCTGCACATCCTGGATTGTGATATTTTTCCCATGTGTTGTTGGATAAGTAGTAGTAATCACTTAGCTTATTATTCCGGTGGCATTTTCATCAAGAAAAAATAAATGGAAAACAGGATATTTTTCTCATTAGAGCTAGTTCATAGCATCGGGTTGCTCACCGCTGAAACCAGTACTTAATATCTCTGTATTATGTAGAATTACAGATTAATATTTAAACAGAAACCTCTGTTCAAAATGAATAATGATATTTTCATATTTTCAGATTATCGTTTTCCTTATTTGTTTTCATAAATCGTCAATAATCTGCGAAGATGGTAGCTGTTTATTGGTGTCTTGAAGGCTGTTAGAAAATGCGCGGCTTCCTATCACAAAAGGCGTATGTTTTAAACTTGTTCCTAAAAATGCTCCAAATATTTTTTTTATCTGTAAAAAGTATTTATATAATAAACAGCAAGTAATATATATATTTATATGTATTTTTGTGTCATTTATCCCTATTATCAGCTGCCCCTTGCGGCACAATTAAAAATAAGCAAGTAGTGGGTTCATAATGCAGGTTTGTTTGAATTCTTTAATTCTCATCCACCAGGGCGCGCCACTTTATCGACACAGTTTCTACAAGAGTAAGAGTCGTTTCTATATAAGCCTTGTTCTATGGAAAGCGGCTGAAGACTTCGAGATAGCTGGAAGGCACTCCAACGAAGAGCTACGAAATCTTGTAAATTACACACCTGAAGATCTGGGACCCAGGAAAAAAAGGCCCAGACACCAGCTAGCCCAATAGAGCAACAGGTAGCAAACGGCGTAAGCTGTAAGTGAGGTTATGTAGAGATAGTAGTAATGACAGATCACAGTGGTACATGGGGGGCTCACTCATATTGACTTGCGCGGAACCAAGTTTTTGGTCTGAGGGTTTCGCCACCTTGCTTCGCCCACGCGAAACAGACCTCAATATGACGAGTACAGGACAGTTTTCAGTTAAGTCAAGTGATTTAATGCACAGAATATCGCCTGAGGGCTGGGAGAGTTTATGGCGTTATTTCCAATTTCAAGGTTACGAGTGACAAGGCGTCCACAAAGGCGTCTAATCGATGTAATCGATAGCATTGATGTAAACAACCTTAGTGCCGGCATTGTTTCTTGCTTTCTACAAGTGTTTTATGAAATTTATTAAAAAATGAGTTCAATTCTGCAACGTTGCTGTGTACCTCAGTGCGATGATACATCTTCAAAGCGGTAAGCTTCAGCATTACTAGAATTATTTACATATTGATTGATGGAGGACGCCAACATGGTGCATGATACCTCATACATTTTTGGTATTTAAATTATAACACATAAAAGCAACATATTTTTAGGTGTGCACTTCCTAGAAATGAAAAGTTGAGAAGCATTTGGATCAGGCGGACTG